ACATCACAAAAAATGTTCAAAACTCTTTCATGTTCCCACTAACTCTCTGATGAGATACAACTATATGCATGTTTATTATATGGCTGTCTCACAAGGACTGGGAACTACCGAATTCACGAATTTGATTGGCAGAAATCAATATTGAAAGCGGTCTAGATTTTCCCATCTGGACCAGCATCTAGACCGGTCTAGAAAAAAAAGGTACAAAGAATATAAAATATTGGCATATAAGACTAAGCCATATAATAAACATCTTATTAACCGCGCTAGGTTACAGACACTAGTACAGACCTCACTCCGTTCAGTCTGTACTGGCGACCTCGGTCAAGATTCTCCCATACAGACCTCCTGCTCGGTTAATAAGAACTAAATATAACTAAAAATCTCTTTGATAATGCCTTTAAGAAAGCACTTGAGACAACAGAAACAAATGAAATCTTTTGATCATTTCATTGTATGGTAAACTCAGTGATACAGAAAAGACTGAAAAAAACAAAATTGCAAATTGAATATTGAACATCTGCTTGTGTACGTGTCAAAACTACAAGCCGAGAGGGATGTTAAAAAAAAGTGAAGTGTGCTATATTGCTCTGATGGGTACGAAAACATCAACCTTCAATTTTGTCCACATTTTCTGCTTGGTGAGGATGTGTCTCACGAAGCCTCCAAGAACTGACAGAGACCAAACCCAACTTGGACGCTTACAATTCATTTTAGCAGCGCAGAGAACAAATTTTAAAACATTATCTGTCTCCCTGAGGGGGTTTAATGGTTGCAAGATTTGCATAAAGCACACGTGTTCTTATTTAATTCTTTTCTGTGAATACCCGAGTCAAACAAACTAAATTTGTATCACGCTGAAATAAATACAAGTAGATAAAATTATAAACATGGGAAATGGCATTTTAAAATGTTGGAAAGAGTACCATACAACCCTATACATTAATTATGCATTCCACTTCTTTGTCTTTCACAACAAAACTTTAAAGACAAAGTCTACTAGACTGAATGCATAATTAATGTATGGGGTTATATGGTAGTCTTGCCGACATCGTCTGCACTCAAGCAGGGCGCGTGCCATCTGCTTCCTGTGGTCGGAAAGAGAAACCGAACATTTTACAAGTAACACAGGCTACTGCTTACCATTTAGACTCGTAAATAATGTCTCGTACAGGTCATAGGTGTTTTCGAAGTATTCTTTGATCTCTCTACAAGACATCAAAAACGGCAACCAAACTTAACTTTTGCCGCGCACAAGATCGTGTTGCATAATAAAGGATAATCGATCGAAACGAAAACTTGAAAAAAGATTACCTCTTGGTACAAGACGAGAGATCGCATGGTTTTAAAGAATGGAGAACGTGTTTACCACTTGGCTGAAACACAACCATCTTTGACGAAATCGCCACTTGTTGCAAGGAGAAGAATGCATGAAAGCGAGACTTGGTAGGCCAAAAAATTCTTGGAGAGCACATTTGTGACTATAATTACGTAAATAATATTGTTCAAGTAGTCTAAAGCTTTTGAGGATATTGGCAGGAAAAAGATTTCTTAGTCACTAAGCGGGATATCCCTAAGTTAAAGAAAGATTTCCGCGTGAAGAGCCTTAGAGATGCCGACAAATAGCTGTGTGCCTGTCCCGCTCTGTACGAAGAAGGACAAGCGGGAGAAGGAGACGGGTGAATTAAATTTTTTTTTCCGTTTTCCAGAGGAGGAAAACCTAAAAAAGTGATGGCTTCATGCTACAAAAAGAGACATCGGAATCGGAGCGAATTTTTCCTTAAACGGGGGAACTAGAGTTTGTTGCAGGCATTTCAGGAAAGAAGATTTGCAAAGAAGTCTTAGTGGAAAAGTTAGCCCCAGACCAGGAGTTGTGCCGAGTCAATTCGTATGAAAGCCAGGTTCGCCTCGTAAACGAGCACCACCGACACCCCGCTTTACGGCTACAACAGTGACAAAAAAAAAGCGCTTGAAGTTAGGGAGGCTGTCGATTCTTCCACCAAAAAAATTGTATCAAAGTCAGGTGTATGTGAAATACATCAAGACATAATTATTCAACTTTCCATTGCAACCAACTATTTACATTATATATACAGCACTGAAAGAGGTATAAGTGGTAGTTTAGCATCTTGCAAACTCACTTGCTGCAATTTTAATAAAATGGGTAAAGTAATATGTGTGCAGCTTTTGCTTCAGAGTTTCCCAGTAAGCAGCATCAAAGGGAATTCTTTCCACTGAAATTCCCTTTTTCGTGTACACAATGAAGTCACACCATCTTGCCCCACTCACACCCATTTGGCCTTGCATTTGAGTATAGTAAGCATGATTCTTTTTCAGTTTACATTGTCCATCGACAGCTGCACAAAAGAATTTTGGGTCTTGACAGGCTTCTAGTGGAGTGACTTGAAATTTTGTTTCAGGACACTTCACTTCAGCAAGTCCAAAATGATTATGGCATCCAAAATCTACAACCCTGCCATCTGATGAGCACCCTAGAAAAGGCCTATCCAGGGAAACAACAAAACCACTCTTGAGAACCTTAACAGGTGTCTTTCGTGCAAGCATGATTTTCTCATATTCCTGGAGAGCAACCGGTTCATATTTTATACCATGCTCAACATACCTTGAGGTAAATGCTTTCGGATTGATGAGATCCATTGCAAACTTATCATGATTCCTTTGTCTTTTTGAAATGAGGTCAAACTTTGAAGCAGTGAATCTAAGCTTTCGCTCTTTCTTCCACTGTTCTGACAATGTTTGACCTCTTGTGGCTCCTTCAATCTTGTTTATCATGTTTTCATCAACAACAAGGGAACTAACAAGTGTCTCTTCAGAATGACTGAGGTTGTCAGGCCTGACAAAATCACTGCCTGAGTTTAACGGGAACCTGGGATAGGTTAACTCTGCTTCATCCATGTCAGCTCTTGGAATAGAAGAAATGTCAAATGTAGCCACAAAGTTTGCTTCAGTAAGAGTCAAGTGGTAGCTGCAAAGTGAGCCAATTTGGCTTTCACCAAATTTGGTCATAACACAACTTTTGGGAGTGGAATCATCTTTTGCCAGAACTGCTAAACCCATTTGTGGATTTATATTTTGAAGGGCTTTTTTCAGGTTAATTTCTGCTTGGACGTCATGCACAGGGTTTGACCTTGCATCATACAGTAAGCACTTCAATCCTTCTCTCCTTTTGGTATCATCTAACCGTGTTTTTGAAATGGTAACTTCCATTACCGGTTGAGCAGATATTTTGTCCCCACGACCCTTCTTGTGCCATCTTTGAAGCTGGGATGTGCTGGCGAGATCCGGTTGTTCATCATCCTCCTGGCACAGATCTTCTGTGCTCTTGCTGTCAAATAAACTAAACTTGCACGCTTTAAACATTAAAGCAAGAATGTGGTTACAATATCCCACTTTGCCAGCTTTGCATGAACAGTTGGCATGTATGACTTGACCTGAGACAATGCACATGGCAAAACGAAGATCATGTGGAGCTTCACTTTTCCTGAAACTGTGATAGCAATTCGCTTTCAAATAAAAATACCTTTGATCACTGTTCGCCTCAATTTCCTTTAGGTATTCGTCCTTCAGAAATGTTTTTGCCTTCTTTAAATTAGTTGGAATTGAGTGGTGCTCGGCATTTGCNTGGACTATCCCCAATGGACTGCACAAGTCTGAAACCAAGATGTTGGAAGAAATGACGGCGGAAAGCGTTGCGAGAAAATCGTGATGCCTCACCTCCCGTGGTAGCCCAGCTGCCACCCTGACGAAAAAAAAATTCGAATGTCTAAAAAACAGCACAAACTAATAAACCGAACTGAAATAAGGGGAGGGGGAAATTCTAGTCCCTTGGGATTGAATTCCCCGATCATTCTGATTGGTCCTTAGAAGGCACGGAGGTGGGATGCGGTGAAACGTTACTTACCATGATCATGTTGTGTCTTCCATCAAAACATGGCGTGGAAAAGTCATCATAAAGTATGTGAGGTTTGAAATCTTTAAGTCCGTTAAAATGGTCTTCACACCACTCCCATACATTTCCAGAGACATCGCAAAATCCAGCTTTGGAAGGCGGGAACATGTTAACAGGCTTAAACCAAAAAAAATAAAAGAGTATATATAATATATACCTTATTATAGTAAATTAACAATGCACGTTGACAATGCGAAGAAAATTAACGTTACACTAAATTAACGCGAATGTTTTGATAAGCATCTTGCTTTATTTACTGCAATTTTCATAATTCTGCAAACTTGCACTTTACATTTCTGAACGCCAAACTGCTTTTTGGCCTCTGTCGATAAAACCTTCCAAGACAAGTCCACGGATGTTTCCAAGTTTTCGTTTAAGCCGAAAATTTGGTTTTGAAACTTAACTAGACCCTATCAATTCAAAAGATCTTTCAAAGCCTCCGTGAAATCACCAAGAGCTGCTCACTCGTTTGATTGACGGAAACCAAACTGCAGTCTGATGCAGTAACACAAACTTGTTGCACTGGCAAAATCTCAACATACATATGTCTCATGGAGAAAATGAAGCATTTACAGTAGTTAGTTTTTTAGCAGATAAAGGTGCTTTAAAATAACAATGTTATAAAATAGCGTGCATTAAATTTACAGCGACATTAATTAAGATACATTAAATTAACGCGAATTTTGTAAAATCGCGTTAATAAAGTGCATTGTTAATTTCCTATAATAAGGTGTATATATCATATAAGTTAGACGAAGTAAAGGGAATAAACAATCTATCTTCAAATAACTTATGTAATCGACTGTACTTCCATTACAAATGTCACGGAATTAGTCGAACGTAATAATCAAAAAGACTTACGGTGGATGAGCCAAAAGCCATATTGATGTTGGCTTTAATATTATCTTGGTAGATAATGTCGCAAGTACTACCCTCTGAGGGAGATTTCTGGAAAATAAAAAAGGATTTTTTTTAATTTCAGTGTAGGACAACTAAATCCCTGGACTATGAACGCAACAGCGTTGGTGCAAAGGAACAGCGACTTTGAAACTAAGTTTTGCTGACAAGACTGGCAGAGCCTAACCTGGGGTCCTCGCATGGCATGATGTTCAGCTTCTGTAGGCAGACGGTAGTCTGGACCCTTCCAAGCACAGAACGCTTTAGCTTCATGGTAGTTCACTTCTGCAGGCCAGTCCATGGGCATGTCCATCACCTCGAACATTGCACGGTACCTGTTTGTTCGAGCAAAAAGATACAAAAGAAGACATAATTATTTTTAAAACCACTAAAAAAGGAGACTAGTCAGCTTTACGTGTAAGGGTTATCGTCAAAGGTTATATTACATTCATCTAAATCATATATAAAATATGAACTTCGGCTTCTGCCAGGTATTCACTAAATAAACACAGCATGATCTAATTTATTCCATTTTCACTGCATTAAGTTTAGCAGTGGGAAGGACTAGAAAGGAACATAGGAACCATTCGTGCTAGTCCACCCATCCCACCCCAGGGGAGGACATCCATCACACAGTAATCTCGTGTGTGGGAAATTAATGTCTCCTACCGCAACTGCTAGACGACGCTCTGTGATTGGTCCAGAA